AGAGAGAGAGAGAGAGAGAGAATTTCAATATTTATTTTTCAGTTGTTTTTTTGTATGTGGTGCTGAGCATGGAACCGGGCCGCACGCATGCCAGGCGAGCCACATCCCCAGCCCCTATTCATTACTTTTAAGTAGAAATATCTTTGACTTTTGCATATTAATCAGCCATATCTTGTTAATTCAATGAACTTGTTTATTATTTCTAGGCTTTGGGGGGAATTCCTTAAGATTTTCTATGTAGAAAAACGCATAGTAGTATACACCCATAATCCCAGTGACTTGGGAGGCTGAAGCAGGAGGATCAGAGTTCAAGGTCAGACTGCAAAACTTAAAGAGACCCTATTTCAAAATAGAAAATAAAAAGGGCCTTGAGATGTAGCTCAGTGGTAGAGGGCCCCTAGGTTCAATCCCCAGTACCAAAAAAGAAAATATAAATAATAGAGTCAAATCTTCTAAATATGAAAACTGATTTTACTTCTTCCTTTCCAATCTGGTAGCTTTTTTTCTTCTTGCTTCATTGTGCATCCAGAGTAATGATGAATCTCCAGTACAATATTGAATAAAAGTGGCGAGAACTTTGTTACTAATCTTTTTTTTTTTTAATATTTATTTTTCAGTTTTGGCGGACCCAACATCTTTGTTTGTATGTGGTGCTGAGGATCGAACCCAGGCCGCATGCATGCCAGGTGAGCGCGCTACCACTTGAGCCACATCCCCAGCCCTTTGTTACTAATCTTATGGGAAATGTTTCAGTCTTTCAACATTAAGATTTTAACTGTAGGTTTTTCATTAATGTCCTTTATCAGGTTAAGGAAGTTCTCTTTTATTCCTAGATTGAGCACAAATGGGTATTGAATTTTATGTTAATTGCTTTTTGGTCTTTATTGAGATGATTATGTGAGGTTTTAGTTTTACTAATATATTACATTAATTGATTTTTGGATATTAAACCAACATGGCATTTTTGAAATAAATTCCACTTGGTTGTGACTTATAATCCTTTATATGTATATTGCTAGTTTGACTTGCTAATATTGTTTTCAGATCTTTCCATCAATTTTATTGCAGGGTATTGGCCAGCAGTTTTCCATTTTTATGATGTCAGAATTCAGCTGGGAAGTGTTCTTTCCTCTATTTTCTGAAATAGTTTGTAATGGAATATTTGGTAAAACTCATTGTGAAGCCATTTGGGCTTGGGCTTTTCTTTGTGGGAAGATTTACAAATTACCAACTCTTTATTTACTATAGGTCTTGTGTCTAAGGATTTTCCACTTACTCTTTGAATCTGTTTCAGTAATTTATGACTCTCTAGGTATTTGTTTACATAAGTTATTATAAAGAGGTTCATAATATTCTTTTATAACCCTTTCAATTTTCTTCTGAAAGGCCGGTAATGATGTCCTTTATTTTGTTTTTAATCATGACTGAATGTTGAATTTTATTCCTCAATTGAAATAATCAACCCTCCTACAAAGGTGTGTCTTTGGATCCCTGTCTTTGGACACATAAGAATTAGAGGAAAAGAAATATGAATTTGGAGAAGTCTTTTCCAAATTTTCCCCCATGGATCAATCATCCCCCATAGAAGAAGAAAAGAAAGAAAGAATCATATGGATTTATTCATTTTATCTGTTAATGTAATTAATCATATTAACAGAAGTTTATATTGTCAAAACATCCTTTCATTTCTGGAATAAGAATTCTCTTTTTCTAGAATCTCATCAGTTTAATAAAACCAGATTATCATTTCGGTATCTGACAGAAGTCACCTATAAAACTGATAAGGCTGTTCTTTATTAGATCGGTTTTAACTGATTTAAAATTTTTCTTCAATGTTTACAGAATTGATGTTCAGAGTACTTAAATAACCAGTAGTGCACAAACACTAGAGAGTCAGAATAGATATAGTTGGCAATGCTGGAACAGAGTCTTAGAATTGTATTACTGTGCAAGAAGAATTTCAGTTACTGGATGATGGGAAGATCTTGAGGGAGGTCATCTTAGAAGAGAGGCCTAGGTAGCCAGAGGGTGACTCAGGGCAGCAATTACTTAACAAATGGTAAGGAAGAAGTTCAATCTTTTAACAGCTACTTCAGCTGAATTGGTACACACTGGTTAAACATCAGTCCTGGAAAATGGCTTATTGCTTCTTTGGTTAGCTTTGCTAAGGTGTCTTTTTGTTTGTTTGTTTTTAAATATTTTTAGTTGTAGATGGACACAATATCTTTATTTTATTTTTATGTGGTGCTGATGATGGAACCCAGTGCCTCACACATGCTAGGCAAGTGTTCTACCACCAAGCCACAACCCCAGCCCAAGGTGTATGTTTTTAGTAAACTATTTCATCAAAGTTTTCAATATATTTGCATACAGTTGATTTTGTCATCTTACTCTATATATTTTTTGTTAAAGCTCCTTTTTCATTGCTATTATGATTTTTGGTATGGGGGATCAAAAGGCTTCACACATGCTACTTAAGTAACATTGCTACACTTCCAGCCCTCATTGCTATTATTATTTGTGTTTTCTATTTTCTCTTGATGTCTTTTTTAAAAAAATATTTGTTGATTGACCTTTATTTATTTATTTTTTACTTATATGTGGTGCTGAGACTCAAACCCAGTGCCTCATGCATGCCAGGCAAGTGCACTACCATTGAGCCATAACTCTAGCCTTGTCTTGATGAATCTTGTCAGAGAATTACCAATTATTTCAAACAACACTTTAGAAAAATCCTTTTCATTATATTATCATTTTCAATCTTAATTTTTAAAAATTTTTAGTTGAAGTTGGTCATAATACCTTTATTTATTTTTTGTGGTGCTGGGGATCGAACTCAGGGCCTCGCACGTGCTAGGCAAGTGCTCTACTGCTGAGCCACAACCCCAGCCCTAAATCTTATTAATTTTGTATTTTTGTTATATCCATATATCCACTTCTTTTTTGGTATCAGGGGTTGAGCCCAAGGGCACTTTACTAATGAGCTACACCCACAGCCCTTTTTGAGAAAGGATCTCACTAAATTGCTTAGGGCCTTGCTAAATTGGTGAGGCTTATCTCAAACTGGCAAATCCTACTCCCTCAACCTCCTGAGTAGCCAGTATTATAGGCATGTGCCACTACTCCCTGCTGTGGGGGCTGAATCCACGGGGGTGGGGGGGCTTAATCACTGAGCAATATCCCAGTCCTTTTTTATATTTTTATTTAGAGACAGGGTCTTGCTGAGTTGCTGAGGCTGGCTTTGAATTCTAATCCTCCTGGTTTAGCCTCCCAAGCTGCTGGGATTATAGGTATGTGCCGCTGCACCCGGACATACATCTACTTTTACTGGGTTTATCCTTTTAGTTTTTAAAGTAAGTTCATCAATTTTCAGTCTACCTTCTGACATTCTGAATTACTTAGGAAATGAGTTTATAAGTCTCTGAAGATGGGGAGAGAATTTTTCTTTTCTTTTTAGTACTGGGGATTGAACCCAGGGGTGCTCTACCACTGAGCTATATTCCCAGCCTTTTTTATTTCGAGAAAGCATCTCACTAAATTACCCAGGCTGGCTTTGAACTTTTGCTCCTCCCACCTCAGTCTTCCAAGTAGCTGGGATCACAGGTGTGAGCTACTATGCCTGGCTAGTTTTACTTTTAAATCCAATTTAACACTATTTTTTAACTGGCTAGTTTAGTTCATATATATTTATCATTACTGATGTCTAGATTGATGTGTAGGTTATGTGCCTACCATATTTCTGTGCTATCTTACTTACCTTTTTTTTTTTTTTTTTTTGCGGGGGTGGGGTGTGACTGGGAATTAAACTAAGGATGCTTTACCACTGAGGTAAAGCTACATCCTCAGTGTTTTTTATTTTGAGACAGGGTCTCACTCAGTTTTTGAAGGTCTTGCTAGGTTGCAGAATCTAGCCTGAAACTTGTGATCCTCCAGATTTAACGTCCTGAGATGCTGGGATTACAGGCATGCACCACTATGCCTGGCACCTATTTATTTTTTAAATGATTCTTTTTTTCTCCCCTTCTTCTCTATTTCTACTGTCTTATTAGTTTTTTTATCCTTCTATAGATTTGGAAATTGTCATTTTTATTTCTGTTCAAATTTTCTTTCTAGATTAAAAAATACACATTTGCCTCTAAAATTCTGTTTGTCTAAAGATGATCAATAGCTGTATCCTCTACTCAAAATGTACATCTAGAAATCTTTAATATTATCCCCTTTTTACATATGATCTCTGAAGAGCGTATTTAAAAATAATCCTGATGTGTTACTATATTATCATTTCACCAGTTTGCAATAGGTATATTTTAATTATTTCTCAAACTTCAATTTTCAAATAATCAAATTCTCTATTAGAAAACATTTTATTCAAATGTTTCTCAATGGAGGTATAACTTGCATTATAGGTGGGTCAATTGGTCCAAAGTGAAAAATAGCCTGTGTACTGCAGGATGTTTAGAAACTATGGTCCTACCAACAAATGCCATAGATATCCTCCCTTTTCCCCAACAATGATAACCCAAACTGCCCCCACTGTGTTTCCAAACATTACTTTCAGGATCAGTATCACTCACTTGAGAATACTCTTTTAATGCATGAAAAAAAAATTGCAAAAATTACAAAATAAATAGATTTAGAACTGAAGGAACAAAGAGTAAGGAATATTTTAGTTTCACAAAGGAAATAATAAAAACATTTTTCCTTAAATTCAGGAAATTCATTTTATACAGCAGTTTTCAATCATTAGCTATATGCCTTGATCTCTTTACCATACAAAATTTTTGCTTACTTACTTTTTGATTTCTGCAGTGTTGGGCATCAAACCCAGGGCCTCATGTGCACTAGGCAAGGATGCTATCACTGAATCATACCCTGAACTCCAAAGTTTTTAGTTGTAATATGATTAAGTAACCAAAGATGGAATCACTTTTTGTTTTTTCTAAAGCCAGTTTTTTTTTTTTCTTGAGGCTGCAGTAGAATACTGAATTTGTTCATCATTTTATCTGTTTATTTTTGTGGTACTGGGGATTGTGGTATTCAGGCCTCACACATGCCAGACAAGTGCTCTACCACTGAGCCATATCCCCAGTCCTGCTCACAATTTAAAAAAAAATGTTTTTATTCATAATCCTAATATGGTCTCCTAGTTACAAACCTGTTAGTGTCCCAAATAATGACATTTCCATCAAATCCTGATGTTACTAAGAGTCTTGTATTAGTATCATATTCGATGTTCTTCACCCAGCTAGTGTGACCATGTAAAGTGCATACTTTGGTGTTCAATTTTCTCAGATCCCATAATGCTATTGTAGTGTCATCAGAGCAGGTAGCGAACAGCCGGTTATCAAGAAATCTACAAAAGCAGAAAAGAAAAACTGGTTTATTTAATCTCTTCTTGAGGAAAATTTGTTGAGAAACGATCTCTATATTACCTAATCAAGAAAGAGGAAAAAAACAAATGACTATAAACTCATTGTACAAATCTAGTGATTCTGATACACAATTAACTGTAAGTATAATTTACATAATCACAGGGCCAGGCCACTAAGATTTAATAAGAGCCACGATGTAATTTGATCCATTTCCTTTAAATAACTGATGTGTTTTGGAACTGGAAGTAGGCATAGGTAGACAGAATAGAAGGAAAGAACTTAATAATGAGAAATATTTACTCTGCTATAAGTAACATCCCTTTAAATCTAGAATATTTACATTAAAAATGCTTTTCAAATTGCCATCATTTTAATTTATTAATTCAAAGGCATTCCCCAAGGCATCTCATTTAGCAACATTTTATTAGGACCAGTTAAGATTACAGGACAGACTTATTTGAAACACTCTTATAATTTAGACTTTTTATTTTACACTAATTTCTCAATCCTTAGCAAGAAATATATTTTTATACATTTACTTAAAAGATAGCAAAGTTAACATTCACACTTAAACTGGTTTAATTTAACATTAGGATGATCTCTCTAATATATATTGTTATACACAACTTTCTTAATCTCTTGCAAAAGAAATAAAATCTAGAGATCCTTCCAAGATAAAACCATACAAATTCTTGTCAGAAATTAATTACAATACCCACAAACACCATTGTGACCTCAAAACTTATCCTGGTTTTAAAATTCCAGGCCCATCCTCCTCCTGCCCCTTGATATGGCTAACTCTTGCTTTCTTTTTAATATTTAACTATCATCCCTTCCAGGAAGCCTTCCCTTTCTGTCAATATGGGGTAGATCTACCAATTCTCTTAGTTCCCAAATCATTCTACACTTGTATCATAATACCTCAAACTACAGTGAAAGAAATAACTTTACAAAGTTATAAACTCCTTGAAGGCTGCCTAGTTCATGGTTAGAATTGTAGTACCCAACAAACAGTGCCAGGCATATAGGCATCAACAAATATTTATTAAATAAGAAGTGTTCACTACCTAGTGAAGACATTATAAATACATAATTACATAAAATAATTATGTGGAATAAAAAAAGAAAAGAGGATGACTAGGAAAGACTTCATGGTGGTCTCACTGGTACCAACAAAAGATAAGCAGGAACTCCAAATAGCCAAGAGATAAGCAAAGGTACAAAGGCATGGAATGCAACTTGTGGGAAAATAGAGACAGGTAGGGGACATATCATGAATTTATTCCATAACAATCTCCAATAAACAATTTTTTAATTATAATTTTTTCTTGAAAATATTTTTAAATGGGAAAAAATACATCACCAAAAATAACCAGTTATTGATGTTCAGCTTAATTTCTGTTTTTTTTAAAACTAACACCTCAAATATTTCACCATCTCATTAAAGATTTATCAACAAAATTATTTTTTTTCTCAGTTTTTGTTTCTCTTTTAGCTTTTATCAACAAAATCACTTTTTTGGGGGGGTGGGACAGGGTACAGGGACTGAACCCAGGGTCTCCAGCATGCTAGGCAAGTGCTCTACCACTGAGCTACATACGTACACTGCAGTATTATCTTTATTATTGAGTTGTAAAATCTCTCTTTTTTTTTTAAGTGGACACAATATCTTTATTTTACATTTATGTGGTGGTGCTAAGGATTGAACCCAGTGCCTCGTACATGTGCATGCTAGGCGAGCACTCTACCACTGAGCCACAACCCCAGCCCGTAAAAATCTCTTTATAGTAAAGATAATATATCTGAGATTTAAAAATATAATATATTTCACACATTTTCCACATACATTCCTTTCTTTTAACGTAGTCTATGTTTTCTTACTACATCAAAATTTTAATTCTTTTATCATTAAATCTATTTTTTCTCATGTAGATTTACCTTTACTAATGAGGCTTTGCAAAGTACAACCAGCTCAATGGCTTTCATACTTGATGGAATTTTATGAGTGAAAAAAAATATACTCCAAAATATTTTAGGGCTGGGGATTACAGTACAGTGGCAGAGCATTTGTCTTAACATTTGCAAGGTCCTGGGTTTGATCTCTAGCACCACAAAACAAACAAATAAAAATCTTAAAAAATACAAAAGGCTACTGGAAAGTAAGTCAACCTTAATGAGTATCTTCATACACTTGAAATATGTATAAATATACTACCAAATATATTTTATTCAGTCTACAAAAATATTAATATAGGTATTAACAACTTCAGTGGGGCTGGGTACAGTGTGCCTTACTAATTCTAGCAACTTGGGAGGCCTAAGGCAGAAGGATCACAAATTCAAGGCCAATCCAGGGAACTTAATGAGACTTTGTCTCAAATTTTCAAAAAAATAAAAATAAAAATAAAAAGGACCAGGATGTAGCTCAGTGGTAAAGCAATCCACGACTAAATCCCCAGTATTGCAAAACAAAAACAAAAAAACACCTCAGTGAGATTATATTGCTGTGGCTCACAGTGATCCCCCTGATGGATTTTTTTTTGTTTGCTTGCTTTGCAGTAGTGTCTACCAATAAGCTACATTCCTAGCTCTGTTTTGAGACAGGGCCTCACAAAGCCGTCCAGGCTGGCCTTGAATTTATGATATTCTTGCCTCAGGTTCCTGAGTAGCTGAGATTATGGGGATTATAGGCATATGACACAGTGCCTGCTCACTTGAATGGTTTTAAGGAAGACAGTGAGATGATTGGAGAATAGTTTCAGGGATCTCTCCTAGATGACTAGGTTCCCAAACTCTTGGATTTTCATAAAAAATAAAGTAAGATGGGGGACCAGTTTTTAAATTTTTGTTATAGAATCCGTTGAAAAAAATAAATGTTACATAGAAGGATATTTAACTTCAAAATGCAGAAAAAATATAATCTTGGCAAAAAAGTCAACAGTTTTGAGTTGAGTGAGTTTACCTTAATGAAAAATTCAATACTTTGACTTTTGTTGGCTTGTTTTGTACCTTTTACAAAACAAGAGAATCATTGGCAAAGAGAATAATTCATAGACTACTAACAATGCTGATGAGATCATTGGTTATAGCACCTAGGACATCTTTAATCCCCAAATAAGCAGATGTAGTAATGTAAAATATTAGAGAAGTTCTCGGAAACGTGGCCCTGTCCTCTCAAACTAAAACTCAGTATGGCCTAGTAATAACTGTAAAATATTTATAACTCCACAGTCCTGAAAATAGGAGACACCTTACATATACTGAAATCTATGAGTTTCTGCATCACCAAACTTCTCTAAATGTCCCCACCAAACTTCAACATATGGTTACAACAACTCTGGATAAACTGACATTTGGATTATATTGAAGTAGGTCTTCATTATCAGAGAATAATTGGCTAAAGGAAAAAAGTAATTGAATGAGAATTCTCTTAAAATAGGTGCTGACATTTCAATGTCTAAATGAAAATGGTGTTGAGTACCTTAAAAAATTTAAACTAAAAATTACAAAAATATTTTTTTTTCTATTTATGTAACCATGTGCAAATTCTGAGAGCAAGAATAAACTAAATTTAGGGTTTTGGGGGTATAATCCTTCCAATGAAATTATGACAGGATACACCCATTTCATATTTGAACTCTGTATAAATCAAAATGAGTATAATTTTTAAATAAATATTCAAAGGCTTTATCAATTTTCCCAAAAGCCTTTCCTTAGTCCTGTGAGATAGTCACATCATCTTTGAGGTGTCTGTCATTATTTGTGTTATTTTTCTTTATTCTAATTGATAATTTGTCTAACTAAATCCTCATTTACCAATGATTTTATATGTAACTTAACCAATTCTCTAATATCACTTTTAGGGTTTTGTGAAATTCTTTGTCCTTTACAAGAAAAATTCCATGTTCCCACGGATACACACTGCATTGCATCATATTGTTTTAAATAAAACAATCAGCAAGAGAGCAACAAAACCAGTGGAAGAAATAGAGCCTGGGATATTTAAATGGGTATTAGTAAATATTCTTACAATGACTTCAGGGCTTCTCCTTATGCCCTCATAATAGGGTGACCTGAATTGCTGAATGGACTCTGAAATCTAAGTACTGAGTCCACATGAATGAGAAAGAAGTAAACCTGTCTGACTGGTGTACATATTTAAGTTACAGACTTTTCCCTATCTCAAAACATGAAGTAGCAGAAAACAATCTCCACAACTACTTAGGTTTTTATTTCACAAGATATGTAATCTACAAAACTAAGAAATGAACTAGAAGACATTTCCAAATATGTGCAAAACAACTATATAGAACCAAATAAGAACATGTATGCCCACATCTCTGAAGAGTACAATGAAGTAATCTAATGGAGCTGAATATGAATTTCATTTCTACCATCTGCTATATATATATATATATATGACCTTAGGTAAATCGCTTTATTTGAGTTGCAATTTCTCTATTTCTTAAAACTGGTACAATATCTGTCTTACATAGGAACACTCTAAAGAATGAACAAAATAATGTATTAAAAGTTCTTCCCGGGCTGGGGTTGTGGCTCAGTGGTAGAGTGCTCGTCTTGCATGTGTGAGGCACTGAGTTTGATCCTCAGTACCACATAAATATAAATAAATAAAATAAAGGTAATGTGTCCATCTGTAACTACAAAATTAAAAAAAAAAAAGTGCTTCACAGAAGGTTTGGTTTATAGTAAGATCTCAAAAAAAGAAAGTTAGTAGTATTATTAATAAGTAACGCACACTTCAGCTCATGCATCAGAAGACCCCTTCAGAGCCTCGCTGAAAACTCTTAAGTTAGATGTATTTCTAAACAAGCTTCAAAATCCATTTTTCTATTCAACAGATCAGAAGAAGCAGATTCAAATTCGTTGGCATGGGGTGCTGTGGCAGGCACATAATGACAGCAGCAAATGAAAGCTGACATTGACAAAGAACAAATTTTAAAAGCAGATTAGTCAAAGG